CAGGAGGACTGAACCCCACTCTGGTCTTGTCCAGTTTCTCTCTCCTCCCCTGATCTGTGTGTCGTGGGGCTGCAGGAGGACTGAACCCCACTCTGGTCTTGTACAGTTTCTCTCTCCTCCCCTGATCTGTGTGTCGTGGGGCTGCAGGAGGACTGAACCCCACTCTGGTCTTGTACAGTTTCTCTCTCCTCCCCTGATCTGTGTGTCGTGGGGCTGCAGGTGCAGAACCGTGTCACCCAGGTTGTTCTGCAGGTCAGGTGAGGTGAAGTGGGTCCCCCTCCTGTGTGTGGAAGCCTCTGGGAGTATAAACAGGTGCAGGGAAGGAGTTCTCTTAGTTAGCATTAAGCATCCAGAGAGTAGCTCTGGTCTCGTCAGGACGCTGTGCTGACTCAAGCGAGGGACTGTGGTTAAGATCTCTCCATCTGGCTGCTCAGATAAGCTCAGCCGGTGAGAGTTTAACAGATCCAAGTGTGACAGTCGCCTGAGAGAAGCCTGAGAACAGTCAATCCTCCGAGCCTCTCCACTCACATCCCCTTCGCATTTCTGTTTTACCGTTAGAGCCGGGATCATTATTCTCTGTAGGTCTGATTTGCATACATTACACTCTCCTCCAACTCCGTCCCCCCCTCTCTCCCATCGGAGAAAGCACTCCTCTCTCTCGACTCAATTAACTCCGTTAATTCAATTGAATTCAGCCAGGTTCCACTGGCCCGGACTGCCACGGCGGTGTTACCATAGCAATCACACAAGACGCTGCCTTCGACAGCACGTCCCACGTCAACCTCCCAGACTTGACTTTCTCACAAAGTACACTTTCTGGTTTATACACCCTAGGACGAGTTTATGTGACAGGGTGAACCCCTGGGGTACACAATCTGTGGCAGTGCCAGTGTCATCCGAGTAATCCCACGGACTCCTCCGATGGACAGCTGCCAGAATTCCCGGACTCCTCCCGGGTATGAGGCAGGGGATCCCGATCCGTCTCCTGGGGACCCCTCACTCCTGCTGGTTTTGTTCCTGATTGTATAACCGAACCCTCAATAGACTAACGATAGGTTTAACCTGAGCTTGCCAATGGCTTTCAGTTCCTAATCATGTAGGACTTTGTCTTCAGATTCTGAGGATCTCATTTACCTTAAAATCTACAACTTCTCATGAGGAAAACACTTGCAAAAGGTTCCAGCCCGGCAACTTCTTGACTCATTTAAGGCTTTAAGGGAAGAGCTCAGCTTTAGCGAAACCCTGGTGTGGATCTTCAAGACTGGGACCAGGAGTTTTTCCAGGTCCTACCTCTGGAATTCCTACCCCAGCCATTCATCCCTCAACAGAAGACCCAGGACTCGCAGGTAAGGAAATGTAGCATCTGGATTTATTTCTTTATGTCTGATACACAGCGTTACTTTCCCCATCACACTCCTATATAGATTTACAAAACAACACAGGGGTGACGCAAACACTGAACACGACATGGCCCGGCGGGCTCGGACCCGGGGCCGAGACCCGAGGGAGTATTTACAGGACACACGACGTTGGGGGGGGAGGGATTAAGTGCAGGAGAGCGGTGCTTGCTGGGATGAATTACATTTCGGATAACAGGGAGAGTACTGTCGCGCATTGGCGGCGATATCGAGGGCTTTTTCCACATGAGTCGGGATACAGGGAGGATGAGGTTTAAGATTCCAGCTGCAGTGTTCCCACTGAGGTCTTCTCCGTCCGTTCTGGCCCGAGTCACCGATTAATTGGAAGCAGCCTTACTTAGAATCTTAAGTGGGTTAATTACAGTTGGTCCTAAGTGTCGTGGGCTCAGCTCCGGCACAGATTCCAATGCACTTCAAGAAAACGATGGATGCGATATGGAAATTATCAGCCGCCCCAGAGCTAGAACTAATTAAAACAAAAGGGATAATAAAGCACATCATTAGCCTGCTTTAACAAGGCCCAGTCAAGTGAGTAAGATCTCAGCTGCAATGAGTAGTTTTCAGATGCCCAGCAGGGGTCAGGGGTCATCTGGGGGGTGACACAGGGGTCAGGGGTCAGCTCCCGAAATGGAAAAAAGCCTAGACAGACGGTCAAACTGAGGAAACAGAATCAACTTCCAACACTCCCCCGCACGACATACCTGCGCATTAATTTAATGCATTGCTCACTGTTTGCTCTGTTGACGTCTGTACAGCAGCGCTTGGATAGACGCAGGCCTGTGACAACACCTGCACACAGCGG